AGTAACCTCCAGGATGCATCTACTGCCTAAGACCCTTTGATACACAAATGTAAAGCTCAGGATGCACCTACTGCCATAAGACCCTTTGATGTACAAATGTTTACCCTGAATGTCAGGTAAAAGCTCCTTACTGACCTTACCATGTATGGTTATATTGCTTCTGCTCCTGATTGGGCTGCCCCGACCTTATATAAACAGCCTGTAGCCCCCCAATAAAGTTCTGTCCCTTTTTCTCTCTGCTTCTAAACTGTACTCTGTCTCTTGTGTCTTGTGTTCATTTGGTTGGTCCCTCCTTGCACCACTGGATCAATCCTCAGGCCACCTCCACGGGCCGGAGAGTGGTTAGCGGGGCCCCCTGCACCAGGTTACATCCCTGGTATCATATTTTCCTCCCGGTCACGGTCACGGTCCTCCCGTTGTTCATCGATTTGCTCGAGCGGGCCCAGTAACGCCTCTATCATGAGACTTGTTGTTACTGTGTTTGGCATATCGAATACGCCACGGGTAGCTTGCCAGGCTTTGCCGTGCGGGCGAGATACTCTTGGTAGCTTGCCGGGCTCTCTGAGAGGGGCGGAGGAATCGAACTCGAGTCGGCCATGTTGGCTGTGTGCAAGGCAAACGCCTTTCCACTGTGCTATCACTCCAACCCTATATTTTTCTCCCATCACCGTCAAAGGTGACCTCCTACCCCCAACACTAAGCCAGCAGTACATACACCCTGAGCACCACAAGGAGAAAGGGGAGGAGAGGAGAGGAGAGAGGAGAGGATGGGAGAGGAGGGAGACGAGGGAAGGGGAGAGAGAACTGTTGGAAGCCAATATTAAAATTTCTAAGTAAGTGTACAATATTAACTTTTTAAAATTAAAAAGTACTGGGCTGCATTTGACCCAGCAATACCACTCCTGGGAATATATCCCAGAGAGGCAAAAATGTATAGTCGAAGTGACATCTGCACTTGTTTGTTCATTGCAGCACTCTTTACAATAGCCAGAAACTGGAAGAAACCTGAGTGCCCGAGAACAGATGACTGGTTAAAGAAACTTTGGTACATCTACACAATGGAGTACTATGTAGCTGTTAGAAAAGATGAAGTCATGGAATTTGTATACAAGTGGTACTACATGGAAAGAATCATGCTAAGCGAAATGAGTCAGAAAGAGAGGGACAGACACAGAAAGATTGCATTCACCTGGGGAATATAAAGTAACAAAATAGGAGACTAACACCCAAGAATAGCTGAGATAAGTACCAGGAGGATTACTCCATGGCTTAGAGGCCAGTCGGGCATTCTAGGGGAAAGGGCAGCTCAGATAGAGAAGGGAGCACCAAATAAAGGGTGTTTGGAGGATCCTCCCAGGATGGGAGATGCATGCTGAAAGTAAACTATGGACCGAACATGACTGCCACTCAATGCCTCTTTTGCAGACCACAACACCCAAAAGGAGAGAGAGAACAGAGGGGAATGCCCTGCCACAGAGGCAGGGTGGGATGGGGAGGATGGGGGTGGGAGGGATACTGGGATCCGTGGTGGTGGAAAATGGGCACTGGTGGAGGGATGGGTATTTGATCATTGTATGATCGAAACCCAAGCACAAAAATTTGTAAGCCTACAACTGTATACCTCATGGTGTTGCACTAATAAAAATTATTACAAAAAAAAAAAGTATTGGGCTGGACTGATAGTATAGTGAGTGGGTAGGGTGTTTGTCTTGCACATGACCAACCTGGGTTCAATCCTGGCACCCCATATAGTCCCAAGCATATCATGAATAAGCCTGAGTGTGGCCCAAAAACAAAGAGCAAAATAAAAGCAAAAAAAAGGAGTAAAATAGAGGCCAGAGACATAGAACAGTGGAGAAGGCACTTCATTGCATACAGTCGGCCCGGGCTCTATCCCTGGCACCATGTACGGTTCCCCAAGCCCTATCAGAAGTGATCCCTGAGAGTAAAGCCTGACTCTACCAGATATGCTGCCCCAATTTTTATTTATTTATTTTGGTTTTTTGATCACCTACCTGGCGATGCTCAGGGGTTACTCCAGGCTCTGCACACAGAAATGCTTAAGGACCATGTAGGATGCTGGGGATCAAACCCGGGCTGGCCACAAGCAAGGCAAGTGCCCTACCTACCTACCTGTTCTCTCTCTCCAGCCCCTCCTCTCAAAATTGAAATTATTACAACAACCTCTTTGTTTATGACTCACTCACTTTTCCCCCCCCAAATTAAAGCCCTATTCTTGGGGCCAGAGGGATAGTACAGGAGGCAGGATGTTGGATTTGCACACAGATGACCCGTGTTCAATCCTCAGCATCCTATACTGTCCTCTGAGCACCACCAAGGGTCATTCCTGAGTGCAGAACCAGGAGTAAGCCCAGAGACAGTTGGGTGTGTCTCAAAAGAGAAACAAAAAAAGCCCTCTTCTTGACTTTACTAAGATAAAAATTTACTGCAATCCTATTAATAACAACAATAAAAAAAGAAAATGCTTAGACATCTAAGAGGAAAGACAGAAATTTGTAAACATGAATTAAACCATCACGGTATCACTGTCATCCTACTGTTTGTCAATTTACTTGAGTGGGCACCAGTAACGTCTCTAATTGTTCCAGCCCTGAGATTTTAGCAGCCTCTCCTTACTCGTCTTTCCCAACAACTGGAGGCTCAGGTCAGGGGAATGAGACCTATTATTGTTACTGGTTTTGGCCTATCTACCCAAGGAGCCACGGGGAATTTGCCAGGCTATGCCTATGAGGGCGAGTTACTCTCAGTAGCTTGCCAGGCTGAGAGGTACATATATATATAATATATATAATATATGTATATTATATATATATAATTATATAAATATAATTTATTGCCTACTGTCTGAACCCCATCAAATATGGTGTGGTAATTATGGAAAATGGGTAGGAAGTGTCTCATGATGTGTCCAGGAATATGTTCACTCATATGTGAGTCTCTGCCCCAGCGTATGGAAAGCGGCCTGGAACATGGCGGCAGTTGGATAGTGGAGGTTGGCTGCCGGGGCTGGGTCCCTTGGAACAGGGCTCTCACCCACTCCCCTCTGGGGCGCCCAGAGTGAAAACAGCCTGGCGTGATGTCCAGTGGCATGTTATGGGGGCCTCATTTTATGCTCCCTTCCAGGAGAAGCAGCTGAGTTCTGGAGGGTGGCTGATGAGGCCGCCGGCAGAGAGTGGCTTATGGGTCGCCAGCGATGAGGATCTCTGCTCCCACGTCCCATTGAGCCCAGAGTCCAAGGTCACAAAGTTCCACATTACCTATGCAGAACTTTGTGAATTAAACCATAAAAAGAGAAAAATCACACTAATTACAACGCCCCTCTCGGGGAGCCCAGCAAGCTGCCGAGAGTATCTCGCCCACACGGCAGAGCCTGGCAAGCTCCCCGTGACGTATTCGATATGCCAAACAGAGTAACAACAAAGTCTCCAATGGAGACGTTACTGGGCCCGCTCGAGCAAATCGATGATCAACGGGAGGGCCTTTACCTTACCTTTACCTTACAACTCTGTAAAAACTGTGTGTATATTAGGGCCAGAGAAACTATATAGGAATTAAGATGCTTGGGTTGCATGTGACCAACCCTGGTTCAATCCCCATGCTATAGACAGTCCCCACGCAATACCAGGAGTGATCCCTAAGCACAAAGCCCCCAAGTACGGCTAAGTGTGGCTCAAAATTTTAAAAAAGTAAATATTTAGGGGCCAGGGCGATAGAAGAATAAGTAGAGAGCTTGCCTTGCAAGCAGCCAACCTGGGTTCTATCCCTGGACTGCATATAATTCCCCAAACCATGCCAGGAATAAGCCCTAGGCACAGCCAGGTCTGACCCTCCCCACCAAAAAACTAAGCGAGGTTATTCAGGCTCATGTTCTCACCCTGAATACATATCCTGCTTACTTGTTTCAAATGTTTCTTTGCCTCTTGCATTTTACACTGTGGAAAAAGAAGTCTGTGTCCTCTTAAACACATACATCCTCTCTCCTCTCACATCTAAGTTTTGTTCAATAAAAATTACCTTATGGGTCAGAGCAATAGTGCAGTAGATAGCGTGCTTGCTTTGCACGTGACCAATCCAGGTTCAATTCCTTGTATCATATATGATCCCCTGAGCGGGCTAGGGGTGATTCCTGAGGGAAGAGCCAGGAATAACCCCTGAGCACCATTACATGGCCCAAAACCAAAATCAAACCAATTAAAAACTATCTTGCTTAAAAAAAAAAAAAAAGACAACTTGACTCTATTATTTCTGGATTCTCAACACTACACTTTATTGAGTTAAAATGGTTTCAACATACATTTCTGCATAGTAGAAAGATATGACTAAGAGCATTTAAAATGATGTTATTATATTTTAATGAAAAGGAATAATTCAGATTCATGTCATTTTTTTAAATTTAGCACAACCAGCAGTGCTACTCCTGACTCTGTGCTCAGGAACCATATGCTCTATGGAAAATGAAACCTGGGTCCGGTGCATGCAAGGCAAGCACCTTAACCCCTGTACCATCCCTTTAGCCCTCACGCACTTGGTTGTGTGCTTGGTTGTGATACTAGGGACCACACACGTTGTTTTGTTTTTAGGGCCACACCTGGCTGTGCTCAGGGATTACTCTTGGCTCTTTGCTCAAGATGACTCCTGGAGGGCTTGGTGCTGGGGATCAAACCCAAGTTGGCCAATATCTCAGAACATTTTAGTTTTAAAACCTGAACAAATTTGGATGCAAAGCATCAGAGATCATACTCTAGACTGCTGGAGATTCTCAACAGGAGATCCAGTGGGATCATATTTGGGCGTGTGGCATGGTACCAGATATCAAACTCTAAGCTCCGCCCCCTTAAAACAGGTTCCTTCCCAACTAAGCTATCTCCAGGCCCCTGCGGGAGTATTAATATTTTTATTTGATAACCATAGATATAAGTTTCTTAGATACATATGAGAATTATTCATCACTTATAACCGCCATAAACCAAAGATAATACCTTGGGGTGAGGAAAGGTTTTGCTCTTGCAGCTTCTCCTGAGAGAGGAGTCCCAAATAGCTGAGAACAACATATTTTGTTTCATAGTGAAATCCTAGAGGCACTGTAGTAGAGGACGCCATTGAGCTCCAAAAAGGTCTATTTACAGGTGAGCAAAACCTAAAAACATAAAAGTGTTTTTTTTCAGCTTAAAGTTTATTACAGATCAATATATATCAACCAAATGCCAAAATATTTGACTTTACAGTAATCTTTTAAAAGTGCAACTTCAGGGACCAGAGCAATAGTACAGTGGGTTGGGCATTCGCCTTGCACATGGCTGACCTAGGTACAATCCCCAGCATCCCAGATGGTCCCTCATACCGCCAGGAGTAATTCCTCAGTGCAGAGCCAGGTGTAACCCCTGAGCATCGCCGGGTATGACCCAAAGAGCAAAAAGACATATAGTGCAACTTTATTTACAAGTGAGAATTCATTCAAAGTTTTTATCCAAAGTAAATGTCCTGAAACTGTACAGCAGGTAGGGCCCTGTCCTGCACATGGCCACATCTGGCTTCAACGCACAGCACCCCACAAGGCCTCTTGAGCTCCACCAGGAGTGATCCCTGAGCACAAAGCCATGTCAAGAGTAAGCCCTAAGCACGACCAGGCATGGCCAGTTCCCAAACCATAGAAGACAAATAGAACTATTTGAAGCCAGAGAGGGCAAACATGTTCCATGTAGAAAGAATTTTTCATTTTTAACAAAGTAAGTTTCCCCTCTCTCTTCCTAGTTTTCTTAGTTCCCGTTTTCACCTACATGGAACAATACACCTCTTTCTCACCCCCATCCTAGTCAACGGAAATGTCTTAAGAGGCTTCCAAATAAGTTGCCTTCTACTAAAAACAATACAGAGTGCTTTAAGTTCACAAATATCAGTAAGAAATTCAGAAAATTAGTAACAAGAAAACAAAGACAAGAAAATAAAGCAAAATTTAAAATATCAAAAAAAGTCCTAGAAGAAAAATACCAAAAATAACTCATGAAAAACCTGAAATATATAGAAGTTTATAGAGGGGTGGAGTGATAGCACAGCGGGTTGGGCAGCCAACCCAGGTTCGATTCCCAGCATTCCATATGCTGACCCCCCCCCCCCCCCAGCACTGCCAGGAGTAATTGCTAAATGCAGAGCCAGGAGTAAACCCTGTGCATCGCTGGGTATGACCCAAAAAAAGCAATATATATATATATATATATATATATAGAGAGAGAGAGAGAGAGAGAGAGAGAGAGAGAAAGAGAGAGAGAGAGAAACTGGAGGATCTGGAGAGATAGTACAGTAGGTAGGGGGCTGGCCTTGCACATTGCAGATTCAGGTTCAATCACCAGCACCATATATGGTCCGCAAAAACACACCAGGTAATCCTGAGTGCAGAGCTAGGAGTAAGCCCTGAGCACAGATGGATGTGCCAAAAAAAAAAAAAAAGTGGGAGGCAGGAGAGACTGGAGATACAGTACAGGGGCTAAAGCAATTGCCTTACATGTGATCAGTCCTGCTCCATCCACAGCCTTAAGTGACCCCAGAAGCACAAAGCTGTGAAGAGCCTGTAAGCACTGCCAGGTATGACTCAAACACTGGTCCCCCTTCCCTCTCTCCCTTCTCCTCTCCCTCTCCCTCTCTCCCTCTCCCTCTCTCCCTCTCCCTCCCCCTCCCTCTCCCTCTCTCTCTTCAGATTCTCAAACAGGCACAGGACTGTGCTCTACCACTGCATCACTTCTCTGTCTCCAAATACTTTTTCAGGGGCCAGAGCGATAATACAGCACGTAGGGATAATACAGCTGACCCGGGTTCAATCCCCAGCATCCCATATGGTCCTCCAAGCATTGCCAGGAGTAATTCCTAAGCATCTCTGGGTGTGACCCAAAAAACAAAAACAAACAAAAAAAAAATTCCTTTTTCAGGCTGGTGAGATAGTACAGGAGTAAAGACACTTGCCTTGCACATGGCCAGCCCAGGTTCAATCCCTGGCACCTATAGGGGCCCTCCTGAGCCCTGTCAGGAGTGATCCCTGAGCAAAGAGTCAGAATTAATCTCTAAATATCACTAGATGTGGTCCCCCCCCAAAAAAAATTTATGGGAAAGAGAAATAACTCAAAGGACTGAGCACATGCTTGCGTAAGGGAAAACCCAGCTCAAACCCCAATACTGTTCAATCCCCTAAGCAACGTCAAGAACAGCTCCAGAGCACAGAATCAAGAGTAGATTCCCACACTGCAGGGGCGGCCCCTCAACCAGAGTGCATTTATAGGTTGTTATGACATCAAGATTTATTTGGGCAATCAAAAAAAATTCTGGTTCACCAATCTCAATTAACAAAATATAAACACAGAAGGTTTAACCTGTAACAACGTATTAGTAATCTCTTACATAAGGGTTTAATGGCTCCATAGTGAAAATACAACAATCTTCACTTTCTTCTAAGGAAACATTTTTTGATCGACCTTTTAGCAAATTATTTATAGCAAGCAATACAAAATAAGTTATTGAGGGCCTGCTCAGGGGGCAGGCTTAAGGGATGGCTGGGAAATTGGAAATATGAGTGGTGGGAAGGTGCAGTGGTGGTGGGACTGGTGTTGGAATAGTGCATGTCCACTAAATAGATGACTTAATAAAGTTATAAAATAAAAAAGAAAGAAATTCTGGTTCAGCAAAACCACGGCCATATTGACTCACCCACCAGCCCTGCTCTAATGATTCACAGTTAACTCTGAGACGAAAGCCAAGCAGCTGAAATTCCTGGACACACAGGTCCCCACAGCTGAAAATTCTGGGGTACTCACTCTCAAGACCATGCCTACCTCCCACAGCTGCCATCATGTCAACTTACTGGCCCAGACTATAGATCCTGAAATCTCTGGACTGCGTGACCACATACGACTCCAAACTCCTCAACACTGAAATTCCAGTGTGAGCACACCAAATCAGATGGGAAAGTAACATAGAAGCCAACTAACCTCAACAAACAGAAACAATTTAACACAGGAGGCTCAACTAGCAACAGCTTAGTAAATCCTTAGATAAAGACTGAACCTAGAGTGAGAGATAAAAATTTTCACATTAAAAAATTGATTTTTATGCATATCTATTTTAATATTGGAACTCTGTTATCTACTTAATTTCAACTCTAGAATTGTAAAAAAAAATAAAATGTAATCATAAAAAAAATAAATAAATAAAATGTAATAAAATGTAATGTAATTGTGGTTCAACAGTTCGAAGTTTTGTTTGTATCTTCAGGAAGCAATGCAATCAAATTATATTAAAATATTCAGGAACTCAAACACTAGGCCTTGGACTTATAAGTTTTCATAAATTATGAGACTAGAGAAATAGTTCAGTGTGTAAGGCACTTGCCTTGCACAGAACCAACCCCAGTTTGATCCCCAACACTCCGTATGTCCCCCAGAGCATCACCAGAGTAATTCCTGAACAAAGCCAGAACTAATACCTCAGCATCACTGAGTGTGTTCCCCCCCAAAAAAAAACTTTCAAAAATTATTAACATTCCCCAATAAAAAAGCAGTAGTGTTATGGCTTACATTATAGGAATGAAAACTCACATTCATTGTGTTCTTATACTGTAGCTTCACTCTTTTGTTTTTTGGGTCATACTGAGTGATGGACAGGGGTTACTCCTGGCTCTGCATTTAGCAATTACTCCTGGCAGTGCTCAGGCAGGACCATTTGGAATGTCGGGGATTAAACCCGGGTCGGCTGCCTGCAAAGCAAACATCCTACCCCCTTTCTCTCATTCCAATCCAATGTGGCTTTACTCTTGAAAGACAGTATACTGGATCAAATTTTTAGATTTCTATTTATTAATAAGATAGAATTCCAAATACACAGTAAAAAAGTCAACCTCATCCAGGGAAATGATTCAAGGGGCCGAATGCTCTGAATGCAGGAGTACCGAGTTCAATATTAGGCACTGCATAGTCCCCGAGCACCACCAGAAGTAGCATTTGAGAGGTGCTGGGTGTGATTCCCAACATACGGATAAAGTAAGTTTTCTGAGTCTGTATTTGATAAAAAACATTGCAGTGGACATTTTCATTTTCTTTCAGGGGCTGGAGGTAGAAGAGGGTTGGAGCGACATCTGTCAGTGCTCACTCACCAGGGATCACTCCTAGCAGTACTCCAGAGGACTACATATGCAGGGGCAGGAATTGAACCCAGGTCAGCGGAGTGCAAGTCTTACTCCCTGTACTTTCTCTGTGGCCTCAACAATTTCCTTTTCAATTTTCTGCCTACCTGTCATCAGAACCCAATTTTCTATCTGCAGAGAAATTCCATGCATCGATCTTTTAATTGTTGGGCCATACCTGGCGACACTCAGGGGTTACTCCTGGCAGCACTTAAAATCACTCCTGGTGGAGCTTCTTGGAAAGCCAAGTATGAGCCAGCGGTGACGGGCCAACTGCAATCTCACGGGAAGGGGGACGGTACCGGCTCATCCTTCACGCCCGAGGTCACGAGTTGCCCCCCAGGAGCAGCGCTCCGCACGGCCATGGCTCCAGAGGCAAAAGGACTTAATCCAGAGCCCAGCAGTTTGCGGCAGAAAAGTGAATGGACCATGCATAAAACTACGGCACCATGCCTCCCAGGGGAGGGAAAGGGTGTTGCTCCCTTCTGCCTCCTCCCTCCCCCCACAGCAAGGTGGCTGCCGCCTCAGAGCTTATTGGACCGAGGTCCTGAGTTGCCCTCCATGAGCGGCTCTCCAGCACAGCCATAACACCAGACACACAGAAACCAATCTCGTAATTATCTGGCTCTTTGCAGAAATCCAAAATTGCATGGCCGCTACATTATATGATTCTCATAACCAGCTATAGAAAACAAAGTATTTCACAATGCCTTTACAGCAATTCTGATTGTGGGGGGGGGGGGGGGATTCTAAACAATAATGGTGCATCTTTTGTTGAAATAATGAATGTAATAAATGTAGAGAAGAGTTAAGTGGAAATCATCTGCCTCACAGGCATTGGGAGGGGTGGGAGGGGGGTATATTGGGGTTCTTGGTGGTGAAAAATGAGTACTGGTGAAGGGAAAGGTGTTTGATCATTGTATGACCAAGAGTTAAACCTGAAAGTTAGTAACTTCTCCCACAGTGATTCAATA